TCCATCCATCCATCCATCCATCCATCCATCCATCCATCCATTCATCCATCATCCATCATCCATCCATCCAGTGGTTCTGGACTCTGGCAGAGAACAGGAGATTATTCCTTTATAATAGTGATCATCGTTTTCTGGATTGCTACCAACAGTCTATAAGAGTTTACACTATCAACCCATTTAAAGCAGCTTTTAGTGACAGAAACATCAGGAGCATTCAGGCCCACCATCCAGAGGTGTCAGTGTGTGAATCGAACCCAGAAAGACAAGAGATCGGAGACAGAGGCAGCTTTAGCTTTAGCCACCGCTGCTGAACTACTTACTGTTAAATTCAACAAGTAGCATGCTGTATAAATAGAATAAAGTCTTTAACATAGAGCGCTAACAGAAATAGACAACTACTGTAGAAATGCTTCATTATTTATGCCTATAGCCCAAAAACAACCAGGTGGTAAATTGTAGTAGTAAAAATATTAGTTGTCATAACAGATTAGCTCCACATCTACAGAGATCAAGAAAATCATTGTGAGACTTTAATTTTAGAGGGAAAACTATTGCAGCTGCTCGCTCTAAGCTTTGTTGGAGTTCCTCAGATACTTTTTCAAAAAAACGAGTTAATTTTCTCATTATCTAAAGATAACAGACACCGTTTTCTCATGATAACAAGATGATTGCTGTGTGTTAAAACTGATTACATCCTTCAATACCACAACAGTGGGAGAGGATTTGTAAGTCATGGCAGCTTACGTGTAATTCTGTAAATAATCCTTTGTTTAACTTTTAGGTAACGAGATGACGTTGTTGGTTTGCTTCCACTTCTGATTCATAAGCAATTAGACCTATGCCTCCAGTGCCTTAGCACCGGGTGTTTTCTGAACAGCCCTGGTGTTACGCCTAGAACAGCTACAAGATGCATTAACTACTAAATGAGTCCAGATTAAAGATTTTCATTAAAATACAGATTTGATTCTACTGTAGTCCAAGCAATCCAATCACCCAGCATGACCTGACAATGAGTGAAAAGAAAAAGGAAACAAAAAAGCTCATTATTTTCGCACAGGTGGCACCGCGACTGCACAACTAGAGTCCCGCAGGCATGGATGGACTGGGAATCCAGGGCTGATGGCCAGCCTCATTCATTACCCAGACAGGTTAGTCATCTCATTATCTCAAGAAATCATAACTGTTTTCTCGTGATAACGAGATAATTATCGTGTTATCTCGACAAAACAATTAATGGTTTAACGGTGATAAGGAGATAGTTATGTTATTATCTCAAGAAGGAAAAGGAAAAAAAAAAAGTTGAGTACGACCGCTCTTAGCTTCCGTAGTTTTCCACTGTGTTATATTCATATTAAAATTTAGCCTGGAGTGTTAAAAATGGAGGCAACTGGGAGTTGGGTCCATTTTTAAGAGCATGTTTCAATAAAAAGATTTACTTTGTGCTCATTTTCTTTCTGATTATTTGCAGATATGTCTTATATGTTCTCCACCCAACCTGCAATGAGACAAGTAAAGGACTGAATTCGACTGCTTTCTATTCCTGCAGATATTTTTTGTTTTTCTCTTGTGTTTTTCGCTACAATTTTCACAGCCTATAGTGTTAAAGTGTTGATCTGCAGGCAAGCTGATCAAAAAGACAGCTACTACGAGAATTACCAGGCAGATATTTTTCCTTAGGGCACAAACAGCCGAAGCTCTGCACCGAAACCAGGACTGACATCTGAACGCAGCTGCAGAATCATGACAGCCTGTAGCTCGTTTATTTTAACTTTCATGGCAATTTGAGGATGCATTTGGTTTTATTCATCATCATTTTC